AGGCCGCCGCCGCCGCCGCCTTCGCAGGCAAGTGCGCCCGCCGGCCTCGCGCCTCACCGGGTTCCCGCGTACAAGCCCTGAACACATGCACCAAGTACAGGCCCCTTCCCATATGCTTTATGCATCATCTGTCATGCACATCTGTTTCACAGGAAAGGCTCTCTTGCACCTGTCCTGCACATCTGCCAGTGCACCTTACAATGTCTTGCACACCTGCCCTGCTCCTGTCCGTGCACCTCACACCTGCCCTATACTCATGCTCTGCACCTGCCTATGGGCTTCACACCTGCCAATGCACCTCACCATGCCCTGAACACCTACTCTGCACCTGCCCATGTGCTTCATATGCCTTGGACACTTGCTTTGTCCCTGCCCTGAATCTCACAATGCCCTGCATACCCATCTTGCACACTCCACTAGCCTGGCTCAGCACTGTATATATATTTGCTCCCTTGTGTGCCTCTCTGCGGCTTTTTTTTTTTTTTTTAACCCTTTTGGAACTTTCTCAATACCAACTACCTGCCTTGTCCTCCCTTGCTGCTTCCTGGGAGCTGATAGCACAGATGGGTCTGATGTGAATTCTGTGTGAAGCTGCTCCAGGGCTCCAGGTTTGGTCAGCAGCATTACTGCTGGTAGACCTGTCTGCCCCAAGGCCAGTTCAAGTGTGACCTGAGCACAGGGAGCCAGGAGAGTCCTCCAAGGCAGGCAGCTTTTCAGAGGTAATGATGCAGATCAAGCCTTGTTTTACAGTGGCATGAGAGTCTCCTTGTGCTGGGTCTTCTAAGTCTGCCCTTTCCCCTGCAGATATTCCCTCCTTCTTATTACTTCGTTTTCTGTTTTGTTTCTTCTGGTTTCTTGATACATAGAGTGCCCTAATTCTCATGTTTTGTGATAAATGGAGCCTTGAGCTGAGGTGCATCACACTATACAGGTGTAGAAGAGCAGTCAGTGCTCTTAATGGCTGAGCCATCTCTCCAGTCCCTGCAGTGCTTTTTGTATTGTTAGGTGTTTTCCAGTATGAAGCTCTGCAGGTGTGCTTTGGGATTCTGTTCAGGGTACATCAGAGCTGATGCACATCAACTCTGGGTGTTTGTTCAGAGCTTTAGGACTGAAGCACAGGGGTGGAGGAGAAGCCTTGGTTCCGCTTGCCTACCTGGTCTGGATCCAGTCAAGGAAGTGTGGGAGGCTTCCTGGAGCTTTTCTTTTTTTTAAGATAATATTTTTATTTTTATGAGCGCATGTGGATATGCGTATGTGTTTGCAGGTGCCTGTGGAAGTTAGAGGTATCAGATTCTTCCTGGAGATGGCGTTACTCTTGGCTGTGATCACCCAGCATGGGTGATGCGAATTGAACTTGGGTCCTTTGCAAGTACATTATGCATTCAACTTCTGAGCTCTCTCTCTGTTCCCTTCCTGGAGCTGGTTTTTGTTGTTGTTGCTTTGCTTTTTTTAAAGTTAATTTCAGTTGGGTTGTGATGGTGTACGCCTTTAATCCCAGGATTCAGGAGGCAGAGGCAAGTGGATCTCTGTGAGTTCAAGACCAGCCTGGCTTACAGAGCTAGTTCCAGGACTATACAAAGAAACCCTGTCTCAAAAAGCAAACAAATAAATTAAGTTAATTCATTTAATGTATGTGACTGTATGTATATCTGTGTACCTGTGCCTGGAGTTAGACAGTTGTAAGCCACCATGTGGGTGCTGGGAATGGAACACAGGTCCTTTGGGAAAGCAGCTAGTACTGTTAACTGCTGAGCCGTCTCTGGTCCCTTCCCTAGAGCTTTTTTTGTTACAAGACAGGGTTTCTCTGTGTAGCCCTAGCTGTCCTGAAATTCTGTAGACCAGGGTAGGCTTGAATTCAAAGATCCACCTGTCTATGTCTCCCAAATGTTGGGATTAAAGACGGGTACTACCACTGACCAGCTTTTCTTAGAGCTTTTAGTGCTCCTTTTGCATCCATGAATTTTGGGTTGATAGTGGGATTTGGAGCCTTAAAGTTTTTGTCCTTTATGCATATATTTTTCTGAGTTCAGGAAAGAAATAGGATATTGTCTATGGTGACATTTAGAGAATTGCATCTGTGGTGCTCGAATGTGTGCGTGTGCACTCGCGTGCGTGCACAAATCAGAATTTTAGTTGTATACTTATGTATCAGAACATTTCTACTTTTTTTGTTGTAAGTTTCTGAAGTCAGACAATGTACAGGTGGCTGGGCTCAGTGCTTCCAGAGTTGAGGATGAATTAGGTATGCCCATGTATGGACTGGTAATGGATATGAACTAGACAGGTACAGGGGTGCAGGTTGGGCAGGGCTGGGTTAATGGGGCTGGCAGGACTCCAATTGGCGTTTTAGAGTATTTCTCATATGCCAGAGGCTTCCCTGGGTATTGGGCATTTTAGAATGCTGGGTACCAGACAGAACCTGTTGTAGAGATTGGGAATGCCAACTGCAAAGGATACATAGTTGCAGGCAGCAGGATACAGAAGAATTTAGTGGCATGTGTGGTGGGAAGCCTCAGCGACATGACACATTTTTGTGGAGCTGCTCTGTGAAGTTACTGCTGATAGAGCTGTCTGCCCCAAGGAGTCAAGTTCACATTGCAGGAGTGGCTGTGGCAGGGTGACATGTTTTTCAGGAGGAAGAGTTTCTGGGAAGGATGGCTTGGAAGTCTCAGACAGTGGACATAAGACTGTAGGATGGCCTGAGCTATGGCAATAGAGAGGGATGAGGCAGGACTGGAGCTTGCCATGTCTCGATGGTCAAGGTGTTGTCCCAGGCCTTTGAGACTTGCAGCTTCTTTGCAAAGGGAGAAAGGCCAGTGGTGAAGTGGGAGTGGGAAGTTATGGTGGAGATCTCTGTTGCATGGGAAAAGCTTTGGTGGGAAAGGGTAGATGTCCCCCTTTTCTGGGAGAAGCAAGTACTTTAGACCGGACTAGAGGAGGTGCCAGCTGAACATCAATAGAAGTATTAACATCTGGGAGGAGTGCCTATACCATGTGGGTACTTCAAAGCTCACAAGATCTTTGCCTTTTGTGCTCTTCCGTCCTCATGTGTGAAGTTGTGTTCTGTTCCGTTCTGCTGTAGAAGTGACCACAGTGACTGTGGCGAATGTGGGGTCCTCTGCAGATAACGTCTTCACAACATCAGTGGCAAATGCGGCTTCGCTATCAGGACATGTACTGGTAAGTTCTTCTTGGGTGTAGCTCAGGGTGCCTGGCGACTGTCCTCAGAGCCTTTGACTTCTACACAGTCCACAAGGGTAGTCCTTATTCTCAAGACCCTCTCAGGATTTAGATGTGGGTGAGCACCTGATACTCTGGGAGCCATGGGGTGGGGGTTAAGATGCCTCCCTGGGCTCTCAGGAGCCTCAGGGTTGGGCTAGGCAAAACAGGACACCTAATTTGAGCTAAGGCACTATCCTCACTTTAGGTCACCAACATGAAAGGTGCTGTATAAACCTAGAAAGACAGGGGCTATGAGGAGCCATCCTCCATGCCAACTGGTCTTGCAGCTTGTGTTCCACCGGGCTCAGGCTGCTCTCAGCCCTAATGGAGCTTCTCGGTGCCTGGCTTTGCTCGCATTCTGTTGAGATCTGTAGACACAGGAAGAGTCACTATATTGGACCTCCCTGCCCCTTTCTCTGAGGCTTACAGTCCATTAGTCCTTTCTTCGTGTCTACTCCTTTAGGCATTAGCATCCAAGATGCTTTCAGTAGCACCTGTGTCCTTAACCAGACTTTTTGTGGTCTGTTACACCACCCTGCTTTCTATGCGAAGTCTTCAGAAACTGGGCATGTTCTTAGACAAAGCAGACTTCCTCAGAGTCCAGAAAGGAACTGTATGTATGAATACTTCAGCTCTGATAGGTGTGCAGACACTTAGTAGCCTTTGTGCTTTTCCTGGTTCTGTACTTGTGTGCCTTGGGGATGTCTCTGGAGTGGATGTGTGGACTTGGGTAAACATCCTATCTTGCTGATAAGTGGTGAGAGACTTGCAGTAGGGCCACATTCCACTGGGTCAAGTAATGTGCCTCTGGCTATCCTAGAGCTGACACAAGTCTTTCCTTCTAGTCTGGTAGGACAGCCCTGCAGATCGGGGACAGCCTGAACACTGAGAAAGCCACGCTAATAGTTGTACACACAGATGGGAGCATTGTGGAGACCACTGGGCTGAAGGGCCCAACAGCACCTCTCACCCCAGGTACCCGCAGCACTTGACCCCAGACTTTTTTTTCCCCCTTAGTGGTAAATTTGAAAACAAAATAGATGTTTATAGAAAAGGCAAAAATTTCCAGGCAGAGACAGAACGCTGCCCACAGCATAAGGGGTGGCACTACCCTTCAGGGCTCTCCTTTATACCTGTGAGGGGCTTTGTGGCTGGGGATGGGCCATCCTGGATTGTTCTGGTCACTCTGTGCCTCTCTTTGCCCAGGTCCTCAGTCTCCTCCTACCCCACTGGCACCTGGCCAGGAGAAAGGTGGCACCAAGTACAACTGGGACCCTTCAGTGTATGACAGTGAGTTGCCAGTGCGCTGTCGGAACATCAGTGGCACGCTCTACAAGAGCAGGCTTGGCTCAGGTGAGGCGGCACTTGGCTACCAGCATTCCATGTTAAGATTTTGTTCTTTTGTGTGACCCTTTTAGTAAACTGGGGCCAAGGAAGCCTGTCATCTGTAAATATGTTAGAAGAAATGAATCTGTGAATGACTTTCAGCCCTGGTCACTGGAGCCTATGCCAAGGAGGGCACAAGACAAGGACAGACATATGGACAAGTTCAGGGTCATAGTTGTCCCTAAATGGGGAAGGGAGTAGGAACGAGGCAGAGCTTAACCATATTCCCCAGTCATCTCAGACAGCTCAGGTGACAGAGAACTCCTGAAGTGGGCTGATGCAGTGACCATGGACCGTCGATTTGATACGACTTGCCAGGCAGCCTATTGGGTGACCATAGGGTAGGTGAGATCAAGCCAGGCAGTGCAGAGAAAGAAAACAAGCAGTGGAAGGAACTGATGTCAGCAAGACACAAGCCAGCAACAGGCCTTGATGAATTCTAAAGACCAGCCCCCTTCATTCCAGGTGGGCGGGGTCGGTGTATCAAGCAGGGAGAAAATTGGTACAGCCCAACTGAGTTTGAAGCTATGGCAGGAAGAGCCAGCAGTAAGGACTGGAAGAGAAGCATCCGCTATGCAGGCAGACCCCTGCAGTGCCTCATCCAGGTATGTGCCGGGACCAGCAGCCTTCGGGTAAGCAGTAGGAAGTGCCCAGAACATGGCACCAGAGAGGGTCTGATGATGTGTACTCACTGTATGACCAGAGCAGTTTACCTGCCCTCTTGATGTTCTTGGGTGTGTGCTAGCCTTGACTCAGAGAATTGCTATGGGGCCACAGTAGGCACAGAAAAGGGAAATATCAGACACATGAGAATAAAAGTAGAGGAAGTCACACTGATAGCACCTGACCACACCTGCCTTCCTTTTGCTCCATTTTCCTTACAAGGAAGAAATTTTTTTCCTTTAGTTTTATTATTTTATGTGTATGAGTGTTTTGCCCGCATCTAAGTATGTGTCCCACATGCGTGGAACTTGTGATGTTGGATCAGTTGTGAGCTGCCATTGGAATTGAACCTTGGGTGCTTGGAATTGAACCTTGGTCTTCTACAAGAGCATTGAAGTTCTCTTTACCACTACACCCTCTCTCCAGCCCAAGGAAGAAGACTTTTGATTCTTGCTCTAAGTCAGCTCCTGGCTATGGCTGATCCATGTCTATGGAGTCTCATTCCAAGGAAGAGAGAATAAAGCTTACTGGCAATGGGGCATTGTGTGTTTCCAGAAGTGACAATTTTATGCTCAGATTTTTTTGTCTTGGTAGTGGGGGTGGTATGGTGACTCCCTAATTTCTATCTATATAATCCTATGTTTATACCTGTATAACATCTCTAGCACCTTCTATATTTCAGGATGGTATTTTGAACCCCCATGCTGCCTCCTGTACCTGTGCTGCCTGTTGTGATGACATGACTCTAGTAAGTTGCTAGGTGTTATATGTCTCCTGCCTGTGGAAGCTCTGCCCCTCCTTTCCTCAGGTTCTTTCTTCTGTGAAGGCTGCTGCCTTCCCTGGGTAGAAGGTGGCTGTAAGAAGTCCAGGACACTGAAATGGGAAAGCATCCCCCTTTTAAAGTGGGCATAGTGAATATGCATGCGACACCCTGTTCTGTGCTTTCAACATTGTGTCCTAATAGTCACCAGCCAGGCCTGGCAGCATAAACTTAAATTCCAGCTACTGGGGTGGCTGAAGCAAGAAGACTGATAGTCCAAGACCTGACTGGGTTACAAATTGAGTTCAAAGGCAATCTGGGCAACTTAGTGAAACTCTTCAAATAAAAATAAAAGATAAGCAAGGCCATGGTGGCATACACTTTTAATCCCCAAAACTAAAAGAGGGTAGGGATATAGCTCAGTGATAGAACACGTACCTGGCATGTGAGGGATCCTAGATTCAGTCCCTAACACCAGGAAACAAAAACCCCTACCTCATGGATAGATCTTTTAATGTCCTTGAAATAGCTCCTCATTCTAAGTTTTATTGTTGTTTTGGTTTTTCAAGACAGGGTTTCTCTGTGTAGCTTTGGAGCCTGTCCTGGCACTCGATCTGTAGACCAGACTGGCCTTGAACTCACACAGAGAGATTCTATATTCTTGCCTTTAAATACCAAGTATATTTAAACTTTTTGTTTGTTTTTAAAACAGACTCTATGTAGCCTTGGCTGTCCTGGAACTCACTATGTAGACCAGGCTGGCCTCAAACTCAGAGATCTGCCAGTCTCTGCCTCCTGAGTGCTGGGATTAAAGACTTTGCATCATGCCCAATTTACTTAATTTCAATATGATTCTACTATAAAGAAGTTTAGTGAAAATAATATAACTGTAAACATCATTAAAACAAAAACGAATGGATGAGACTGTCAGAGATCCTGTGGGGTCACAGAGCAGGGTGAGGGTATTACTCTTTCAAGAGCTTCAGGACACAAGTCTGAAGTTGCCTTACAAGCACAGAGCTTGTAAGAGCTCTGTGTTGCTGTGGTAATCGGTACAGTGTGTCAGCAGGACCTGGGACCTCTTGGGAACTGAACAGAGTCCAGCTGCCAACCCAAGTTTCCAACATGTAATGCTGAGCCATTGGATATCCCTGGGCAAGGAATGAGCTTTGACCCATGCTACACCGAGGATAAAAGTGAATTCAGATTGTAGCAAAGGTCTACACATGAGAGCAAAAGCTGTGACATCTTAGAAGGAAATGCATGGGGCTATCTCTGTGATATAGGGTTAGACCCAGAGTTTCTAAGACATGGAACAAAACTGCAGTCTTTAAATACTACTCAGCAGACTGGACTCTGTTGGGTTTTAAGCTTCAGTTTCCACTAGGGCAGTGGTTCTTAACCTGTAGGTCACAACCCCTTTTGGGGGTGTTGAATGATCCTTTCACAGGGGGTCACATATCAGATATTTACTTTATGACTCATACTGTTATGAGCAAAATTATACTCATGAAGTAGCAATGAAATAAGCTTATGGTTGGGTGTCACCACAACATGAGGTGTTAGAAAGTTTCTAAGTATAGCCAGCCATTGGTGGCGCACACCTTTAATCCCAGCACTCGGGAGGCAGAGGCAGGCGGATCTCTGTGAGTTCGAGGCCAGCCTGGTCTCCAGAGTGAGTGCCAGGATAGGCTCCAAAGCTACACAGAGAAACCCTGTCTTGAAAAACCAAAAAAAAAGAAAGAAAGAAAGAAAGAAAGAAAGAAAGAAAAGAAGAAAAGAAAGAAAGTTCCTAACTGCATTAGGAAGGTTGAGAACCACTACTACACTAGGGGATGTGACATGCTCCACTAGTCTACTCCCCCCCACACCCCAAGAAGTAAGTGGTGAAAACTGGAAGATAACTAGTGACATCTCTGGAGATTGTCCCCAGGGACCCACCAAGTCCAAAGGGAAAAACAATGGCAAGAGGCAGGCCAGGTACCCTCCCCAGCTCAAGTTGTGAGAGGCTCCTCTCAAGATTGATCCTTCTCCCTCAGCTCCCTATCCAGGGATAGGTTACCTCACAGTGGTAGGCTATAGCCTTGCTCACCTAACAGCTGTGGGTTATAGTGACTTCCCAACCAGTGCTAGGGTAAGACTGCTTACCTCAGCCCTCTGTATCAGGCTGGCTGAGCCTATTGCTTGATGTCTTCAGCTGAGCTTGTTTCTAGGGCTAGTTTCCAAATTGTGATGGGTCCTGCCTTAACCCCTGTTCACACAGCTGGGCTGCCATGCTGATAATGAACTATGACTCCTCTAATGAACTGACTTTGTTTTAGAAGACTATAAGGATGTCCAAAGCCAAGACTATTCTGGGAACAGTGGGAAAACTGGTAGCCACATCAGAGCAAGATGCTGCCTTGCATCAGTTAGAGAGAACCAAGAAAAGCAGCAGCCAGGAAAAGCCTTCTCAGACTGAGAGCAGGCCCGAGGTTTGCCTTCGAAGACCCATAGATTAACCTCTCAGATAACTGACATGCCAGGATCTGTCAGGGACTCCCGAACCCTACTCTAGGCACCAGCTTAGCAGAGAAGTCAGTCAGAGGCCTACTTTTATCTGAGACAACTGCACACCCAGGTTGAACTCTCAGAGACCACAACACCCTGCTGGTGACACTTCAGCCAAACAGCATGGCCTCCCAACAAACAGGAGGCAAAAAGCCAGGGATGGTGGCTGTCAATACCCACTGCTGCCACAGTGTGTCGCCTGTAAGGTCTGGTTCTCAACTAAACTAAGACATGGAGATGAGCAAGAAACATAGACCACACAGCACAACAGCAAATAGCAGCCGTAGCTAGGAGAAGTGCAGCACAAAGGAGGAGGGGAGGGCTGGGGCCTTAGCTCAGTTGGTAGAATGTCCTCCCAGCATGCACAAAGCCTCTGGGTTCGAGCCCTGGTACCACATAAATTATACACACCTGTGACGGCAGCACCCACCAGGTGGAGACATATGCTGGGTAATTTTTGTTAACAAACCTAGAAGAGTGAATCTCAGTTGAAGTATTACCTCAGCTGGACTGCTTTCTGGGCATGTCTGTATGCCCAGAAAGTTTTCTTAGTTTTCTTAGTTAATGATTGATGTGGTAGGGTGTTAGGGATCAAACTCAGGTTTCCAGTCTTGGTAGGTTTGGTTGCAAGTGCTGTCATCCACTACTGAGCTTTTTGTCTATTTTATTTATTTATTTATTTATTTTTGAGTCAGAGTTGCACTGTGTAGCATTGGCTGTCCTGGAACTCTCTCTGTAGACCATGCTGGCCTCAGACTCATAGAGATCTGCCTGCCTCAGTCTCCCAAGTGCAGGAATTAAAGGTGTACTCCACCACTGCCCAGCATTTATTTTCATTTATTTATTTATTTATTTTTTCAGGGCAGGGTCTCCCTATGTAGCTCTGGATGGTCGTGGAACTCACTATATAGTTAAGGCTAGTCTTGAACTCACAGAGATCCACCTGCCTCTACCTCTTGAATGCTGGGATTAATGGCATGTGCTACTACTCCTTACCCTGAATTGTTTGTTTGTTTGTTTGTTTCAAGGCAGGGTTTCTCTGTAGCTTTGCAGGCTGTCCTGAAACTCACTCAGTAGACCAGGCTGGCCTCAGACTCATAGAGATTCGCCTGCCTCTGCCTCCCAGTGCTGGGATTAAAGGCGTGCACCACCTCTGCTCGGCCTGAGCCTTTTATTTTTGACATAGGGTCTCACACTGTAACCCAGGCTGGACTTGAACTCATGGCATCATCTTGCCTCTGTCTCTTGGTTGCTGAGACTACAGGCCTGTACCATGCCAACTTGCCAGTGCTCCTTGTGTCTATAGATGGCTCTGAGTGACTCCTCTTTGCGGACGGTTTTTATTTCAGGCCGTGGTTTTCCTTGTTCTCCTTTACTTGGCCCCACTTCCTTTCTTCTAAGAATCTGAAGCTCCAGATGTGGAGGATGTGTTCTTGCTTGGCCGCAGTGCTGTTGATACATTTCTTCTGAAAATGTCTTCTCTGCCAGTTTGAGGGCTTCAGGGGGCTTCCGCGCTCTACAATACCAATAGACTCACTAATTTGATAAGCTGTGGGAAGCAGGCACTGTAAACCCTCAAATGTTGTCCTTGGTCAGCTTTACTTTTCTCCCCAGAGTGGCCCAGTCAGGCTCTTCGTACCTTACAAAAGGCGCAAGAAAGAGAATGAACTACCCACAACTCCAGTCAAGAAGGATTCCCCCAAGAACATCACGCTGCTTCCTGCCACAGCGGCCACCACCTGTGAGTGTTAGTGCTGCAGAGCAATGCTTTGCTGAGATGTGGTCCTGTTTTTCCACCTTAACCCATCAGAGGGATTCTCATTTCTGAGACAGTCTGACAAAGTCTTTTTCTTTGATTCGAACTGCGAAGTGTTTTAAAGTTAATTTACATTTTACTTTATGTCTGGAGCGCAGATTCATGGCCCCACAGTCAGACTTGGCAGTGTAGATACAAACCTGAATCCTGCCATGTCTGGCTGTCTCTCTTAGGTGCCAAGGTCACGGACTTCCTGGTGTCATACCATGTGTGGGGTATGTCACTGTCTGCTTTGGCCTAGCTCCTGGGATCTCTCTGAAGCTTGCACCTTGGCAAGGAACAGTGCATACTTCAGGCCAAGTGCCTGGCCTGGCCATGAGTAAAATGCCTTTTACCTTTCCAGTCACTGTGACACCCTCAGGACAGATCACTACCTCTGGAGCACTAACCTTTGACCGAGCATCCACTGTAGAGGCCACTGCTGTCATCTCTGAGAGCCCAGCTCAAGGTGATGTCTTTGCAGGAGCCACAGGTAGGTTGTCTGATATGTCCCCATGCCTATGGCAGTGTCTGTTGCCTGGCTCCTCAGCACGGGCCTTGAGCAGGGCTAGATCTTGGTGGAAGCTTGGTGGGTAATGGAGAAATAGCACTGTGACCAACGCAGAGCTGGAGATGGCGTAGCATTTGTTGATGTTGCTTTAGGCTGACGCTAGCCACTAGGAACAATTCCAGTCATCTGTAGTTTTAAATATTCTAAAGAGTCATGTTAGCAAAGTACATGATGTTATCTTTTGTTTCATCCACCCAAGTCACAATGTGTCATCAGCTCAAAGTGCACAGGGACAGTATCTCTGCATTGAGTATGCAGCTATAGACACATGGAATTAAACCTGCTGTGCCAATAGCAAGGTGCTGAGGCTATCTGCCTCTCTCTCACTAACAGTGCAAGAGGCAGGTGTGCAGCCCCCCTGCAGGGTTGGCCACCCTGAACCCCACTACCCTGGTTATCAGGACAGCTGCCAGATTGCCCCGTTTCCAGAAGCTGCATTGCCAACATCACATCCCAAAATTGGTGAGTATAAAAGAATTCATGTGTATGCAAGCTGTTGTCCTCAGAATTGTGGTTTGTCTGCTTTTTATTCTTTGTAGTGCTGCAGATGAAACCCAGGGAGGGTTTCATGAATGCTAGGCAAGTACTCTACCTCTGACCCATGCCCCAGCCTCAGAACTGCTTCCTGTGAGTGAAATAGGGCTTGTGCTGATATATTCATTTTTTCTCTTGGAAGTGCTGGGTTAGGGCTGGCAAGGTCCAGGCTTCTGCCTATGTTTGTAAATAAAGTTTTATTGGACACAACCATGCTGTTCACGTATGTGTAAAGCTTCTTTTTTTTGTATCAGGCTACTTCCATACAGTATGAAATGACCGGGTGTTGCTATTGTCATGTCCACCCCAGCAGAAATGTGTGAGCAAGCTATCTCCTTGCCTTGACAAACCATGGAATTGGATCAAGCTGTGACTGGTGTGAGGGACTGTCTTAGTTAGGGTTTCTATTCTTGTGAAGAAACACCATGGCCCTTACAAGGGAAGCATGTAATTGAGGTGGCTCACTTACAGTTCAGAGGTTTAGTCCATTATTGTCATGGCAGAAAGTAAGGCAGCATGCAGGAAGACATGGTGCTGGAACTGAGAGTCCTTCATCTTGATTCAAAGGCAACAGGAAGTGAACTGTCTCTCTTGGGTGTGCCTTGAGCATATATGAGACCTCAAAGCCTGCCTCCACAGTGACACACTTCCTCCAATAAGACCATACCCACTCAAATAAAGCTACACCACCTAAAAGTGCCACTCCCTTTGGGAGCCATGTTCTTTCAAACCACCACAGGGATTGTGCCAGTATCTGTGTCCTTGTAGTTGAGAGCAGAGATAACCCTCTCTGTGTGGGCAGCTTGACCTTGGTTTTCTACTTAGCAGCACATTTTGGGCAAATTTTATGTCAGTGTACTTTTTAAAGGTACGTTTGATGGATAAAATATTACCTGAACTGTCTCCTGCTGATGAACATTTGTTTTTTATATTTGTCATGTTCTCCAGCATGAGAAACTTGTCCACTAAGAGCTGAAACTAAACTAAAATAAAATTCCTTCCCCTCTCTTGCTTGCTTCATTATCTTCCTTCTCCGAGCCCCACCCCCCAAGACACTTTTTCTGTGTAACAGCCCTGGCTGTCCTGACACTAGTAGGCTTTGTAGACCAGGCTGGCCTTGAACTCACAGATATACACTTGCCTCTGCCTTCTGAGTACTGGAATTAAAGGAGTGTGCCACCAGGCTTGTGCCTGGCTCACATTATCTTCCCTTTTGTCTATCTGAGCTCTTCCATCCTTAAGATTCAGGCACCGGGCTGGAGAGATGGCTCAGAGGTTAAGAGCACTGACTGCTCTTCTAGAGGTCCTGAGTTCAATTCCCAGCAACCACATGGTGGCTCACAACCATCCGTTATGAGATCTGGTGCTCTCTTCTGATGTGCAGATATACATGGAAGCAGAATGTTGTATACATAATAAACAAATAAAATCTTAAAAAAAAAAAAAAGACTCAGGCATATTCCACTTCTTACAACTGGTTTCAGCCTCCTCGCTTGTCTCTGCTGAAGGCTGGACTCTGTCCCGCCCTGGGTGGACTGTGTCCTTTACTGCTCATCTTGGCACTTAGCTTGCAGGAGACCACAGATATTTTATAACATTAAAATAATGTTTTGGCTGGGCGGTGATGGCACACGCCTTTAATCATGGTACTCAGGAGGCAGAGGCAAGCAGATCTCTATGAGTTTGAGATCAGCCTGGTCCACTGAGTAAGTTCTAGGACAGCCAAGCCTACACAGAAAAACCCTGTCTCCAAAAAAGAAAGAAAGAAAGAAAGAAAGAAAGAAAGAAAGAAAGAAAGAAAGAAAGAAAGAACCTTAAATATTCAAAAAAGTTATAAATACAACATAAAGAACTTTACCCTCTAAATATTTTTTTATGGTTTTTTGAGGCAGTTTCTCTGCAGCCTTGGAACCTGTCCTGGAATTCGCTCTGTAGATCAGGCTGGCCTCGAACTCACAGAGATCTGCCTGCCTCTGCCTCCCGAGTACTTGGACTAAAGGCGTGCACCACCACTGTTCTGCTCACCCAGCATTTTTTATCCCCTAAATATTTAATAGTAGTGCAGACATCACCCAGCACACTTCAGTGTTTTGTTTTGTTTTGTTTCTTACACACACACACATACACAGAAAAGATGGTATGGCCAACCTGTGGTGGCCCATGCCTTAATTGCAGCACCTGTCTCAAAAAACCAAAAAAGAAAAAAAAAAAAAAGATTGTATGAAACTCAAGAATTAAGTAGGTAAGCATTTACTATTCACCCATGAACCAGGGACCACTCCCCAGTGACTTGCTTACTGAACTGTGTCCCCTTGACACTTGGCCTTTCACCTACTTTGTTGGAGGTTACCAATAGCTGTCATGTAGAATGTCCCTTACTCTGGTACTATGACGTTGGCTGTTATGGCATGGGTTTTTGTGTCTTTGTCAGTGATGGTGCAGACCTGGGATAGGGACAGCTTCTTACTGAGGGTAACCAGGACACCTGAGAGCGTCGGGAAGTCTCATGGGAGGTTCCTCAGTCCACAAATGTCTACAGTACCTCATCACACTTTGCACAGGCCTGGACATGGGGCTTCCTGTTTTAATGTGTGGGTCATGACTGCTGCTTTTCTGATAGCTGCTCATACACCCATACTTGGAACCCTGTAGGAGGCAGCAGGAGCCCATAGGTGGCCTCTGTGTTCACCTGCCCCTCATTGCAGGGAATTTCTTACTTTCTGCCTTAACCAGACACTTGAGGATCATCCCAAGTTTTCATTTCTCTTTGTTTTTTTTTTTTTGTGTGTGTGTGTGTGTGTGTGTGTGTGTGTGTGTTCCTTCTTCTTGTTACTTTGAGATAGGGTCTGGATAGCTCTGGCTGGCCTGGTCTGCTCACAGATCCACCTGCCTCTCCTGAGTGCTGGAGTTAAAGGCATGTACCACCATACCTATTGTGTATGTTTTTACACACATTTGTATGTATGTGAGTGTGGACACATGATGTCTTGGTGCACTATAACATGTGCGTGTAGAGGTCAGAGACCAGCCTTGGATATCAGTCCTCATCTACACCTAATTTGACTCAAGAGCTCTTGTTTTTCCTCTGACTATGCCAGGATAGCTTACACTCCAGAATGGAATCTCCTGCCTTAACCTCACATCTCGCCTTCGGCATGCTGGGATTGTAGGTGTTCACTATCACATCTAGCCTTTACAGAGTTCCTGGGATTTGAACTCAGGTTTTGTTTTTGTTTTTGTTTTCGAGACAGGGTTTCTCTGTGTAGCTTTGGAGCCTATTCTGGCACTCACTCTGGAGACCAGGCTGGCCTCAAACTCACAGAGATCCGCCTGTCTCTGCCTCCTGAGTGCTGGGATGAACTCAGGTTTTTGTGCATGTGTGCAAGTGCTTTCCTCACTGAGCACTCTTACCAGCCTTCATCCCAAAGTTTGCATTCCCCTTGCCTTTCAGAAGACAATGGTGTATCTGGCCTGAGTCACAGTGGCCTGGAACTGTTGAGTGCTGGCTTTGTGATGACTGTGTGCCTTATACAGTTCACAGTGAGAATTGGAAAGAGGCTTTGTGCAGTAGAAACAGCATCCCACAGAAGCTGTGCCATGTTGGTATTCATGGCTCTTAGAGTGTGTCTATTAGGTATACCAAGGTAGAACACGCTTTGCATCTATACACAAGTCTATATTCTAGACCTACCTTCAGGGGGATTTAGTTCACAGTGTCTAGTGAGTATAAAGTCACATTATGTTCTGGTCCCTTCTCTCTATCTTGGTGGCTTTCTCTCCAGTTGTGAGAATCATGACTCCTATTATCCTTAATACCCCCCATATTGACTGCCGACTCCAGAGAGACTTTCCGGGTAGCCCTTGGTTTTCCTGTGTGCAGTGCTGGTTGAGTCTCCATTCCCTGCCTTTCATGTGCTTGTCCCGTGGCTGTTTCCTTCCATGTTTCATGGCTACCCCTCCTCTGGGTGTCTCTCTTGCCATTTATCTCTCTTGTCTGTGAGCTTCTGCTCTAGGTCTCACATTGGAAGTGATTGGCCCTTGGGGAGGGCTTTTGGCTGACAACATTAGACATGTTGGAATGTAAATAAGGAGTAGGGACAGAACCTTTTCATCTTTTTCCTTTCACTTTTTTCATCACCAGTGTGTCCCCTCACCACCTGTCTATTCTTACACCTCAGGCTGTAATGAAACTTGGAAGTCACTGACCCCTTGTTTGTTCCACATTGTGTATTCCAGTTCTGACATCCCTTCCTGCCTTGGCTGTGCCACCCTCGACCCCCACCAAAGCTGTTTCTCCTACCGTGGTCAGTGGGCTGGAGATGTCAGAACAGCGGAGCTGGCTGTACCTGGAAGAGATGGTCAACTCCTTGCTCAGCACAGCCCAGCAGCTGAAGACACTGTTTGAACAAGCCAAGCAGGCAAGCTCTTGCAGGGAGGCTGCTGTGACACAGGCCAGAATGCAGGTTGATGCAGAGCGGAAAGAGGTAATGTGAGCTCAGACCTGTGGCTGTATCCATTCTCCTCCCCAGGCCCTGGGATAGCATGACTCCTGTGCTGGCTCTCGAAGCTCACTGCCCCACTGTCCCTGAGAAGAGAAATCTGGAAAATAACAGAAAATGAAGGTGGCAGACACTGATAAAACAGTTTGTGTAAGATTGGCATATTTCAGCAGGGACGACATTTTTCTATATGCCAACCATTATTTTTGAATGCATGGTATTCATAGATGTTTCTACATTCAGTAGTAAGACATGTCTCATATTTTACTTTGGAAAAGTGTCATTTGGTGTGGCTCTGACGCATAAGCACACACAGTTTCCATCTGCTGCTGGCAATGTCTGTCTCCTGTAAGCCAGGGAAGGTGGTGTGACCATGTAGTCACCATGTTTTCCTGCAGCTTCCTCTACCATGAGGGCCCAATGCATCCCACACATTGGTTTCCCAAAGATAAATGACGAGTAACATTTTCTGTGTGCTTTGAACTTTTTTTTTTTTTAAATCAAGGCAAAATTCAACCCACACTCAAATGTCTATATCCTGCATGTATGTCGGTGAGAAGGTGTCAGATCTTGGAGTTACAGACAGTTGTGAGGTGCCATGCTCTGGAGACCAGGCTGGCCTCAAACTCACAGAGATCTGCCTACCTCTGCCTCCCGAGTGCTTGGGCTACCACCCCCCAGCTAAGTGTGAATTTTCTTGAGAGATTGGCTGAAACCCTAACACCTAAACCCACCAACTGGCATTAAAATAAGTTTGCATTCTCTGAGCCCATACTCTCTGAAAAACATTCCCATGCCATCAAAGTCTTATTTGCAAGTAGTCCTTTGTGATCACATGGTAGGAAACAGAGGTTCAGAAGGCAAAGAAGGCTTGTGTTTGAGTAGAAATACCATGTTGGAAGCCTTTCCACCTGGGGCACATGGACTAGGACAAGCTGAGAAGCCTCCCTGAGGGGCTCTCAGGAGAAAGTGCAGAGTTAACACAGCTGCAGGGGTTATAAGGCTGCCAGCTTTCACATTTTATTTGGAATTTTAAAAGAGATCAAATTTAACCTAGCTGAAGCAAGTCATTCCAGGATTTTGTGTGTATGTATGCCAGTTTTAACAATGAGAAATTTGCATGTGTGTCTCTGTAATTAGGTCTGCAGAGACTAAACAGGGTGGAAAAGCAGATGCCCTTGCCTGTCAAGGGCACTGTGTCCAACAGAAACCAAGCTGGCTGAGTAGCTTCAGGGTCTTATATCAACTTGCCCACTTGCTGAGCAATTCGAAGGTATAAGTGCAGGAGTGGCCTGGTGAAGGCCCTACTGCTCAGACTCTGATGAGGGAGGGCTGTTCTGGCCCTCTCCGGAATAAACTTAACATTCACTTGAGTAAGACAGTCCCAGAGCAAGAGCATGGCCCTCCACTACTGTCTTCCTGGCTGCTGACCAGAGATGCCACCGTTCATCCCTGAGTCCCTAAGAAACTCCTGATGGGACTTGTCTGTATAGCAGTGGGACAGCCTGGAAATGATGGCCTCAGCTTCAGGAAAGAGCTATCCATAGGGACTAGGTTGTGAGACAATTAGTGCTTACACCTGCCCAGGGGATAGAAAGGCACAGACAAAAGGCTAGATGTAGTGGTGGTGCACACCTTTAATCCCAACAGGGAATGAGTTGAAGGCAAGCCAGGGCTACATAGCAAGTTCCCATCTTACAGCCAGCTCAGCCAGCCATGGCCTTTTCTAGGGGGTTCAATTTAGCGTCTAGTAGGCAGCTGGGAAGAGAAATCCATGGTGGTTTCATTTGCTCTTGCCTTCAATTAGATGCTCTTAATCCAACCTCTTGGTCTGTTTCTGCTGGCAGTCCTGCTTTCTTATGAATCTTGTGGATTCGAGACTGTCATCTTGTCTTAGTTGCCTGTTCTGTGCTTCACTTGTTGAGCCCAGCTCCTTGGAACATGCTCTGTCAGTGGTGCTGAGGGAGGATGCTCAAGACTCCTTTTTCATGGCCAGCACCTGCAGTGACCAACCACTGTAGGAACAACCTCTAGGATTCTGTCCATTCAGGATGAATGTCCACTGGCCCATTCACTCATCCATTAGAGCCTCTAGCCTGGCCCATGTGGTATAATTGGTTGGTTTTGTTTCAGCCAGCACACAGCTGTCCTGCTTTTAGTTCTCAAGCTTCAGGCATACATGTAAGCCAGTCTCTGGCAGGTTCTTCCAATGCACAGGTGCCAGCCACTGCTTCCCTCTTGTCCTCTGTGTAACCTGTGGAGGCCAAGCCTGCAGAAGTAGAGCTGCTGCTTTAAAGGAACAGGCCTTGGTGCTGGAAAAGGAGCCTTTGGCATCCTGCCTGCATGTGTCTGAAAGGAAGAGTGTCCTTTACCCTAGTCTGGCCCATACTGCACTTCTGAAGCAGGTGCTGGGGGTAGGGGTGCAGCATCTCTTCCTTCTGTGTCCTCTGAGGACAATTGGAAGCGCTCCTCCTGAGTCACCATGTTACCTGCAGCTTGTCCAGTGGAGAGGGGTCGTTCAGAAGCAGGAGAGACGAGATGGAGTGGACCTGCACTGGGGTGCCATGAGCAGATGTATCTGAGGATCTAAGCAGAAACAGGGCTGGTCAGAGATCCAAAGTAGCTCTCTGGGCCATCATCTATATCTTAGTTGTAAGACCTTGGGGTCAAGGTGTGAGAAACAAAAACCCTTACTTCATAATAAGAGTACAGGAGACTCAGAGTAGCAAGAGTGAAACTTTCTTTTATTTTTCTTTTTTTCTTTTTTTTTTTTTTTTTTTTTTTTTTTTTTTTTTTTTTTTTTGCATTGCAAAGTCAGGCCTTAGCCTAGACAAAAGACAAAAATAGCTGGTGTGCAGATTTGCTGCAAAATAGTCCAGGTTGCATTTCTGTGCTCCTGATGTTGTGGATATCTCCGTGCCGGTGTGGGTTCACACAGGTGTGTGGAAAGAAAACTCAGAAACACTTTAAGAATGAATTTAGCCATTGTGATTGCCGGGGCCCTCAGCTTCAAGGAACTGAAGTGCCTTTCCCTATGCCCAGGACATTTTTTTATTTTTCTCTATATTTACACTTTAGCCAGTTGATTACCAGATGATCAGAACAACTTGAATGAAGCTTCCAAAAAGACAGTGCCATGTGCAAAGACTCAAATCATAGGTACCATAGTTTTCCAGGCTTCCTGAATCAAGTTTTTCATAGACCTTTGTCTTCTTGAGAAATTCCTAAGCAAAGTTCACATGGTGGGTGGGGCAGCAGGTATTGGTCAGTCAAAGGATGGATTAGGCTAGGTATTATCACTGTAGTGCCAGGCCAGCAGGTCACTGCTGCACCCTGAACTTCTCATTAGCTGGGCCCTCCAGGGAGGTACACTCTTTCTAGTGTCTAGTGTTGCTCCCCAGCCAGGTGGTGGTGGCACACGCCTTTAGTCTTAGCACTTGGGAGGCAGAGGCAGGTGCATCTCAGTGAGGTCTACAAGATGAGTTCCAGGACAGCCACAGCTGTTACACAGGAAACCCTGTCTCAGAGGGAAAAAAAAAAAAAAAAAAAAAAAAGGTTGCTCCCCCTGTTGGTTCAGGACACAAAGCCTTATCTAGTATATGTCCTGGGGTTCCAGAGTCTCTCCTTTATGATCCACAGACTCAGTCCCATAGCAGACTACCTGTGACTTTTCAACCCTAGGATGAACTGAGAGCCTAGACATGCAGGCAACAGCTGCCAGCTAGGGAGGACAGGGTCCTAGTGCCTCCTGGTTATCTGTGATTCTCGGCTGAGCCCAGTGCATCTCACACTGAAAATGGACTGTAATTACTTATTTCTTAAAAGAGATGAAGCAGGCAGTGAGATTAACACAGATGCTTTCTGTCAAGTCTGATGACCTGAGTTTATGCCTAGGACATACATGGTGGAAGGAAAGGACCAACTCCTGCGAGCTGTGCCCTGACCTCCACGTGTGCACCATGTGTGTATGCCCAGACACACAAAAGTAAATGTAACAAAAAACCGAAAGCCTTCAAAGAAGAAGTCGAGAACAAAGAGACAGGTGGATTTCTGAGTTTGAGGCAAGCCTGGTTTATGAAGTGAGTTCCAGGCTACCTACAGCTAGATGTTTAGGGACAAGGCATTGAACCACCCCATACATATGCAGCTCCCAAGTTCAAGTCAGACTTAATTTGCAGAACCAATGGCAAATAACATTATTGAGCTTCTTCCTTGAGCGATTCAGAATTAGTGAGTATTTTATAGGTAGTCTTTTCGTCTTCTTTGGATCTTTTATGAGAAATTGCTCAGTTACTTATGATGTGCAGTCTGTATAACTTAGCAATGAGTGGTGCCTAGAGCAGTTGGTGGCATTGCTGCCCAATATTCATGTTCCTGCCTTATTGTAAGTTGATGCTGGAGCTGGCCTGGGTGCTGTGCCAGTGGACACGGGGCCTAGGTACCCATTCTTTCCGAGGCAGAGGCCAAAGACTCTGCCTATTGGCAGTTGGTATCCATGCTGCTGGGGCCATGATGCCCTAGAGACTACAGCCTCATATCTGGGCCTGTTCTTTGGACCACATGCCCCAGAAGCAGTGCTGTGGCCTCTCCTGAAGATCACTGTGGTGATCCTTTTCTGCTGAGGCCATTCATGGAAAGCCACTCACTGGTTCAGAGGTTTTCCATAGTTTTCTGGGAAGCTCAGAAGGGTCTTTTTTCAGGTCACTCTGGCAACATAGATGGGCATCACTGGGGTATATGTACACTTCTGCTGGCATGGTGGGAGGTTGTTTCTGAGAAAGCAAACTGATCTTGGGGGTCATCTTCCATTATTTCAGAAATGCTGCAGAATTAGTACAGAGAGTCCCTGTGACTGTCACAGGCTGTCCTCCATGAGTGTGTCAATCATAACCCCTTTGACCTGCCTCTGAACGCAACTGCCAGCTCCACAGTGAGTTTCATTGTCACTGCTGTTCTTCATTTTTGTGCTCAGGGCTGTCTGGGGCACACATGCTACCCCAGCACAAGGAGGGGAGTGGTGGCTTCCCCAGCTAAGTAGGCCTGGCCATTCTCTTGTTCTCTGCAGCTCTGGAGAATATGGCAGGTCATCTATTGGACATGCTCAGGCTACCTCTTCTCACAGTGGAACCGACAGGACGCTGCAGCAGGAAGAACACATTCTATCTTACCACATCCCTGTATTCAGTGGCAGTCCTTGCAGCCTGGACTAGGGTGTCTGCTATTGTTTGCTCTTCTCCCTCTGCAGACCTGGTCACTGAGCAAGTTCACTTGGGGCTCTCCCGGACAGGAATCAGGAGTAACTATAGACTCTTCTGACCGATTTAGCTCCCACACTACTGATTTTTGTGGTCACATATTTCTAACAGGGTGAACTCGTTGATGTTTTGAGATCCCTGGTTATAGCCAATGCTGTGTTAGCTTCTGTGTGTCTGGACTCCCTCCCCTTCCCTATGGTGCCTTCCCTGACTCTGGCCTACCAACTCTGTCTACATGGGTATGGACTTCTTTGCAGTATTTAGTCATTCAAGGTAGGGGCAGGGTCTGGAGGCTTGGGTCAGTGCTGGAGGCCAGGCAGCTAACTCGGTACCCAGGATCTTCAGTTCATGCTTTCTAAGGGGAACGAGGTAGCTGATATTTCACAGGTCAGAAGATGGTGGTCACAGTGAGGATCATGGAACAAAGCTGAAATTCACAAAAAGAGCCTACAAGAAACCATTGTGTTTCCAGCAAACCCACAAAAAGAGTGGTTGAGCTGGCCTGAGTAGCGTTGTAAGCACAACAGTCACATCTGTATGTTGTCTATGTTGGTCACAGCAAGCTGCTGCCCATTGCCCTACCAGCCTGGGTCCCTTCAGCCTGTGTGACCCAGGAACCCACACGGACGCCCTTCCCAACCCTGTAGCCCAGTCTCAGGTTTCCTGGTTTGAAAAATGTTGTTGATAGCAAGCTTGCAGTTACCAAATGCCGTACATAACCAGTCATTCCACAAGAATCAGTCATTGAAAGGTTGTGTTCAGTACCTCAGTTTAGTAACTGTCCCGCACTAATGTAATTAAAAAAAAAAAAATACATGAAACAATGGGCAATTAGTATTGATTCAATGAAATGACGTTCAATGAATGTCAGTATAGGGAAAGCCTGGGCCACCACTGGGGATGCTAGGACCCAAACTCCATACCTTAGTTGATACACTCGAGAGGGCCCAGGGAGATCCTGATGTGCTCAATGTTGGCTCCACTGCCTGTTTGCAGGCTGGTCCTCAAGCACTCAGGAAGTGTGCCTAAGGGTTGAGAACTTCCCCAAATGAGGCTTTCTATACCCACATGGCTGCAGGGGAATCTCCTTGGAGCTTGGACACTGATGTTCTGGTACATGGTACAGGGCAAACTCAGACAAAGGGAGGAGGCCAGTTCTGTACAACTGAACAACATGGAGATGGACATGTTCCATGAGGGTATGCCTAGTGTTTCTTTTAGTCTTGGTCGCTGCAATGGAGACTAGCACCTGCTGTGACACTGATATTGGTTTGTCCTTCTTGCAGCAGTCATGTGTCAACTGTGGCCGGGAGGCCATGAGTGAGTGTACCGGATGCCACAAGGTTAACTACTGCTCCACATTCTGCCAGCGCAAGGTACTGTGCCTACTAGACATCCTTGCATCACCTCAGCCTCTTCCTCCCGTCTAATGTCCTGTACAAGCACCTGGGCAGGTGGACTCACTCCAAGTACCTATGAGCCAGAATGCTGGCTTCAGGGTTGTCATCTGTCTAGAATGTCTAGGGCAGTGGCTGCCTGGAGCTACCTGCTGGATTCTCTGAAGCCAAAGTCTCTTCAGAATCCCCAATACCCTCCCTCACCCATCCATGCACCTTGTTGGGTTTGGGACTATACCTTCCTCTTTCTGTAGGCTCTCAGCTGGATCTGTGAGGTGAGCAGGCATATGAGTATCTGTGTACCCATGGTAAGACCTGCTCCACTGGTAGGAACTCCATGTTCTGGGAGCCTCTCACCATGTTCTAGTTCAGCAGGCCTCAGAGAGCATTGTAAGAATTGTCCACAGTGTCTTTGTTTATATTGTTTTGGCTCTGAGAACATTAAAGAGGGCTTTTCCCTTTTTCTTTGAGACAGGGTCTCCTGTATTCAGGATGGCCTAGAACACCATATGTAGTCAAGAATGACCTTAAACTAGGCAGGCACTCTGTCACTTGAACCACATCTCCAACCCCTGTCCCTCCTTTTGTAGACAGGGTTTCCTGTAGCCTAGGGTGCCCTTGAACTCCTGATCCTGTTGCCTCCTTTACTCTAGTGCTTGGATTTCAGGTATGATACCACTTATAGCATTAAATTTGTATACCTAATTTTTTGATACTGGGACATGACATTTTCAACTACAAAGTATATACTCAAGAACTATATAATCAAGTTACCAAAAGGGGAGTGACGCAAAAAAAATTTCATGATGTTTTAAGTAAATTTATGGTTTGTGTCAGGCTGCATTCATAGTTATCATAGGGCACTAACGACCCATGGACTGTCAGTTGAACACTTAGAATATCATATGCCTAACATTTTTTGTGGGGGGTGCAGTTTCGAGACAGGGTTTCTCTGTGGCTTTGGATGCTGTCCTCAAACTAGCTCTTGTAGACCAGGCTGGTCTCAAACTCACAGAGATCAGCCTGCCTTTGCCTCCCAAGTTCTGGGATTAAAGGCGTGCGCCACCACCACTTGGCATGCCTAACATTTCTTACGAAGAGCACTTTGGAACAGTTAGTAACCTCATTATTTTTTTCCAGTCATCAGCCCATGGTTATTCTAGGAAGTGCCATGGAGCATTGCGGCACCCTGGCCACCATTCTGGCCTCTCCACTTTCCACGTAGTGATTTCTGTCTTTTGTGTTCTACTGACTTAGACTCTTACTTTTTTGTGTAGTGCACTTTATGAAGATATAGGAACCTTAAGTTCCTCTGTGGAGCGGATACTCCAGAGTGATACTCCAGAGTGCCAGCCAAGTAGAGGGCTGGGCATGTTAGAGTGGCCCTGGCCCTGCTGGGGGACCTGAGCCTACGCTGTCCCCGCCTACACAGCTGCAGCACTGCTCTTGTTCCTCATGCATTTTTCTAAGGAATGCCCATGCTGCAGCCTGTGCTCTTTGACTCAGTTTCATTTTTACTCTGGGGCTGCTGTGAGGAAGACAAGATGCTGGCATCCAGGCTGGGCAAAGGACTCCTGTAGTCTCTGACCCAGGGCTCAGAGTGTCAGGAACCTGAGGCCCTCAGTTTCCTAGCCTGGAACATAAACAGAAGGAGTCAACTTGTTCTCAGGGATGAGAAGGGTGTTTCATTCACCTGGAGTCCATGGCACGGGTTCTGAGTAGTAGCCTTGGACCCTTGGATGGGTCTAGATGTGTGAAGAGGGAAGCAGACTATCTCAGATGTGCTCAGTAACCACTGCAGGTTCTAGCTGGTCTGATGACAAAACCTCCCACAGGGGCCCATGGCTTTGCAGCTTGCTAAAACCTGGCAGGCTAACAAAAGTGTGGATATTGGAAGATGGCCATGAAGGGAAGCTTCTGAAGTAGACATTGTCCCCCACCCTGAGGTCCATAGGTATCTCAGAGCTTCACATGGCACAAGGAAGGTGTGATGTTCTTACCCTCATGGACTCCTGGCAGTCCTGTGTGGCCCTGGTGAGTACACAGGAGCCATTGCCTCTGGGGTTTAAAGAGAAGGTATGACCCATGTTCTCTGGTCATCTCTGCAGCTGCACTTGTCTCAGGGGTACCAGAGATTTGGGGAGCAAAATTAGAAGTTTGTCTTCTGAACTCTACTAACAAGCTTTTGCACTGAGAAAAGTTCAGCCAAGTTGTTCCATGGTGCTAAGTCAGCACCACCACCACCACAACCACCACCCACACACACACAGGCTTTCTCTGTGTAACAGCTCAGGCTGTCCAGGAACTTACTTTGTAGAGCAGGCTGGCCTCCAACCCACAGAGATCTACTTGCTTCTGGCTTCCGAATGCTGGGATTTCAGCCCTCTTTTGATGTCCTTCATCAATAAAGACAAACACTCCAGCTTGCTTCTTCCTTCCTTCCTTCCTTCCTTCCTTTCTTTCTAGTTTTTGTTTTGTTTGTTTTGGGTGGGACAGCATTTCTCTGTGTGGCCCTGGCTATCTTGGAACTCACTGTCTACCAGGCTGGCCTCAAACTTAGAAATCCACCTGCCTCTGCCTCCCAAGAGCTGGGATAAAGGCGTGTTCAGCTTCTTCATTTGAATTGATATAAAATGAATGTAGGGGACTGGAGAGATGGCTCATCGGGTAAGAGCACTTCTGTTCTTGCAGAAGACCTGGGTTCAATGGCAAGCACCCACATGATGGCTTACAACCATCACATCATAAGTCGAGTACCAGGGGATCTGACACCCTCCTCTGCCCTCCATGAACACTAGGCACAAACAGTACGTATGTTCAGGGAAAATACCCGTACACATAAAATAAAAAATAATGAGACAGGGTCTCTCTGTATAGCTTTGGCTGCCCTGGAACTCTCTCTGTAGACCAGACTGGCTTCAAACTCACAGATATCCACCTGCCTCTGCCAACTGAGTGCTGAGATTAAAGGTGTGTGCCGCTATGCCAGGCTGTATTTTTTTCTTTTTTGATACAGGGTTTCCTATGTATCCCAGGCTGGCCTTTAACTTGTGATCCTTTTTGCCACAGCATCCCAAGTGCTGAGGTTATAGGCTTTCACCACCATTCCCAGTGTAACATCTTAGCTTTTGGAAAGCATGTTAATTTTAAAGTTTTAGTTATACTGAGCTTGGCATATACAGGAAAGAACATGTGTAAATTTGCATATTGTGTACAGAAGCTATACAGGTGCCTACAGGAGCCACAGGATGCACCTGAAGCTGTCAGCTGAGAGGATTAGGAATAACCTAAGCCTCAGCACACACTTCCGCACATTAGCCACGTAACAGGGCCTGTCTCCAGGGACCAGAATGTAGGTGTGTCTGTTTCCCACCATAGTGTCAGGCCTGTAGCTTCAACGCTGTGGAGAATCTGAAATGTCCATACAGGAATGCTTCTCTGAGGAAGTCTTGTCGAGCATCAGCACCTGCTGTCTTGGTCATGGCTGAGCCTTTTCAAATAAGCCAAAGACATCACAGTTTCATCTATGAACGTGGATTGTTTTTAGTCAGATAGGGACTAGTCCTTAATGGAATTTTGTTTTGTTTTGTTTTTTTTGTTTTTTGAGACAGGGTTTCTCTGTGTAGCTTTGGAGCCTATCCTGGCACTCACTCTGGAGACCAGGCTGGCCTCGAACTCACAGAGATCCACCTGCCTCTGCCTCCCGAGTGCTGGGATTAAAGGCATGTGCCACTGCCACCAGGCCAATCCTGGCTTTTCAAACAATGAAGTTAAACAATGAAGTTAGTTTATATTTGTTTGTTTGTTTTTATTTTTGTTTTTAATTCAGAATTTGAGGTTTCAAGAATCGGTCTTGCTGGGTGGTGGTGGTACACGCCTTATTCTCAGCATTCAGGAGGCAGAGGCAAGCAGATCTCTGTGAGTTCCAGGCCAGTCTGGTCTACAAAGCACTAAAGAACAACCAGAGATGTTACACAGAGAAACCATGTCTCAAAACACCAACAACAAAGAATCAGTCTTGCATATTTGCATTTTTGCTCAGAGACCTGAGTAGAGGCTTGCTTGTTGCTTAGGGTGGACACTGGCAGTGCCTTAGGCTTCCTCATCCATGGGGGACCCATTTGTTCACCTCACAGAAGAAAGCATCTAGGATTCCTTGGGGACCTGGCCAGGATCCACAGCTCCAAGGCACCATGCCAGTTCATACCAGTTATTAGGGACAGAGTCTAGTTGTGTAGGTGACTGCCAGGGTCTGATGCACACAGTTTGCTGGCCCACACTCTACAGCTATGTGTATTTTTATCACTTGGGGCAATTTTTTTATTACGAACATAAAACAGGCCTTTCCTGAGGTGACCCCTCACCTTTAGGATATGCTTATTTCTGCTTTCCTGGGCGCGCGCGCGCGCGCGCGTGTGTGTGTGTGTGTGTGTGTGTGTGTGTGTGTGTGTGTGTGTGTGTGTGTGTGTGTCTGTCTGTCTGTCTGTCTGTCTGTACGCATGCACACACATTGTCGAAGTTATGAATACCACCAGTATGGATGACAATATCACATATAAATGTATTTATTTCTTTGTTTATACTGCTAGCCTAGGCTGGTCTCACTCATGGCTATTCTCATGTCTCAGCCTCCCACATGCTGGGGTTACAGGCGTAAACCACTGCGTCCAATTCATTGAAATTCTAACAGCAGCAGGGGATGGTCGTGCACACCTTTAATCCCAGTACCCGGGAGACAGAGGCAGGAGGATCTCTGTGAGTTTGAGAGCAGCCTGCTCTACATAGTGAGTTCCAGGACAGCCAGAGCCTCATAATAGCGAGATCCTGTCTCAAAAATAAAACAAAACAATAAAAACTGACAACAATACATGGATGCATGACCATATTCCGTCTCCTTCTGCACATGTGCACATGCCTTTTGTTCTCTGATCTCCAGCAGCCCCAGAGGGTGACACACAGGCCCTGACAGGAACCTTCCTTCACTCTGACAGTTCACAAACAGCTGCCTAATAGTGAAGTCCATGGTCCATCCACAGGTGATGTGTTGCTCTGTACCACAGTGGGTCCCTATGGTCCTTCCTGCTAACATGGCTGTCTTTCCTTCCAGGACTGGAAAGACCATCAGCATGTCTGTGGCCAGTCAACATCTGTCACTGTCCAGGCTGATGAAGTTCATGTTGAAGAAAGTGTAATAGAAAAAGTTGCTGTTTGAGCCAGGCCACTCCCTGCTCTACTGTGAAGCTGTCATAGACTTAGGCCCTCTGATGACTATGGGGGCTGCTGAGAAGTGGGGCCATGGGAAACTTGCCGGACAAGTTGTTAACAAAGAGACTAGGCCCTTGGAAATGAACTCCTGGAAACTTGCCGGACAAGTTGTTAACAAAGAGACTATGCCCTTGGAAATGAACTCCTGTCAGAGAGAAAAGAATACTGGTGACTTTCAGAATGGGGCACTCTGCCACAGCCCAGGGCCCTTGACCTATCACGGTGCTCTTTCACCCCTGGATCCATGAGTGTCCCATTACCCATGGGAGTACCCTATGCCACGTGTACATATCTGTTTTATCTGTTAATAAGGTTGTAAATAAAGCCCCCATCCCCTACCTGGATGGCACCCTGACAAAGCCCACTTTATATTCAGATGGCCAGAGGGTTTCTGCTGTGTCCTGACTGTGTGTGAGTGTGAGCTGTGCACTCCATGTGTCCCGCTGTGGGGATGTAGGCCTGCCACGATCCTCTTGTTGGTCTACCTTCATTGCCTTCATGGCCAAGGAGTTTCCAACCTATCTTTCTCTAGCGGAAGGTTTCAGGAGAACCTGAGACAGCTTAGCTCCATATCCTCTCTGCTGTGTCCAGGCAATGCCATGAGCAGCTGAAGGACTTTCAGGAATCTCCCAGGGCATCCTTTTTCATGCACATTGAAATATCTGTTTGGTCGGACACCAGGGCTTCTGCATGCAAAGTCCTGGTTGTCTTTGTTTTTCTTCACTCTCCCTTCTCATAACCCAGGACCATTCTAGACATTGTCTCTGGGAGCAGCTAAGGGGGCAGAGACCTATGAGGGATACTCATACTTAGGTACTAGACTTGGCTGATCTTGGAATGAGACCTGATGCTCCTACTGACAAAGAACACTGCCAGAGAAGCACATTATGGAAGCTTCTAAATTTCAGAAATGCCTCAGTCAGGGTCCTGAGGCTCCCCTGAACTATGTAGGGGATATTCGGACTTAGCCAGGGTCTAGGGGAGTGTCTTCAAGTTTAAGATGAACTTATGGACTTAACCAATTCTTACACCTACTTCTAAAACAATTCCTGTGAGATACACACCAGCTTCACACCTTGATATGTGTAAGAAAATCATCTCTAAAACCCTACACTGGGCCAAGAACATCCCTCCTTCTGCCAGAAGGTCCTTCTACACCCAGCAGACCCCTGAGGTCCCTCAATGTGAACTATAGCATTAGTTGAGGAAGGGGCACATATGTAAGTAAGGAGATCCCAATTCTGTGGGGTCCTTGCCTCTTCCCCAAGGCTTATCAGTGAGCCAGGCACCTGGAGGCTCCAAGGCTGAGGCCCTTCCCACTGAGTAAGGTCTTCATGAGTACCCTGTTTATTTCTGCTGGAATCAAACCTGGGGACTCTTTAACCCTTTGAGTAGGGGCCTTCCCATTATTCCCAGAAATGCTTTTCTGGCAGCTGAGTAGCTCTCAGCTCTAACCAGCTAGCTACCCAGTCCATAAAGAGTAGGCAGAAGTTACACAGCACAGCTCAGTTTGCACAGTGAGAGCAGAAAAAAGACAAAAGTGCCTCCAAAGCTACACAGAGAAACCCTGTCTTGAAAAACAAAAAAAAAAAAAAAAAAAAAAAAAAAAAAAAAAAAAAGACAAAAGTGCTTGGCAAGTAAGTCATCTGTACCCAACAGTTCCTCAAACAAGAAAATGGCCAGCCACTGCTAACCACAGGACAGCCTGCAGGGGGCATCCAGGGTGTCTACCCCCAAGGAGTGGCTCTATGTGAAGGCCCAGAACACCAAGATCGTTTTTGGGGTGGTGACCATCCAAGAGCAGTGGCTACCACATGCCACCTAGAATTGATTCAATTTATACTTTCCATTTCCTCTAAGAAAGAAACCCAAAGAGTCTCAGGAAATAGGCACTTAGGGCTCAGTTCCCCAAGCTGTATCAAGCTTCCAGTGACTTCTGCTCCACTCACTGTGAGTCTCAGCAGTGTATTTGTATTTGCAGAACTTTTCAGTGGGAGTCAGCACAGGCCAGGCACATTTGGTATCCTAGGGTCTCCAGGGGTAAAATTTGAGGGATCCCCAATTCCATTAACATTAGATGGTATGTGGACAGATGTGAACCCATGACTCCATTGACCCCCTAGGAGTATGCTAGTCCTGGAAGGTCAACAGAGACCCCACCAGGGGGCATTGAACATCCAAACCAATGAGGCCATAGTACCCTCAGTCCTGGGGAATTGCCCCTTATCCAACAAGGACCTCTTTAATGCAAGGGGTTTGCACACTGAGAACAGAGTGATGCCTTGTGCCTGTTGCTTTTGATGTGGAACCCCACTAAAAACCTCCTTGGCAGTCCTGACTTACATCTCTCCCGTGACAGGATGGGGAGGGGAAAATGTTAGGGTGTGCTGCCCCTACCAGGAGGGAGTCATCTCTTCTTGCTGGGCTAGGCCTTGACCAAAGAGCTCTAGCGCAGGAGCTGCTTGCAACCACCTTGAATCCAGCCTCTGGACATCCGTAGGGTAAAGATGGGCTGGGTGGATCTGAGTTTAGGGCTCCCTCTCAGAGGGCACCTTAGTGGGACTTTGAGAATTTGGTGTATCTTCTGGAGACAGACTGGCAGGAAGCTATGTGTACTGTACTCAAGAAAGCTTCCAAAATGATGCCCCTGCCCGCTTCAATGACAGCAGAGCCCTCCCTACCTAGCTTTCCAAGGAGCTAAAGCTGGCCTGGACAGGATCCTGGGGACCCAGGAGCCTCAGGAAATTCCTCTAGCTCCTCTCCCAGCTAGACACTTGGTCACTTTACATGTTAAGGGGAAACTAAGCCAGATGAAGTAGTTCTACTCTTCCTGGGGCAGAAGAGACTTTTAAACCTCCTGAAGCTGATCCTGCGACATCCTCAAAAGCAGGAGTTAGCCAAGCCCACCATCTAGGCAAAAAACCTTCCTCTTTTCCTTGCTTCTCCCCAACCCCCAGTCTTCGTAAAAATGGGTTAGGAAATAATTCGTTTAATTAGACGCGCCAGCGCATTCCGCACACAGGCCTGGGTCTCTTTGACCTCAGGACACCAGTGGCCTTTTCAGCAGCAGAGACGGAGAGACTTGCGGAAGACGCTTCGGAACTCGGCATTGAAGACGGTGTAGATGATGGGGTTGAGGGCACTGTTGACATAGCCTAGCCAGGTGACCGCACTGACCAAGCGAGAGGGCACGAAACAAGCCGAACACAGCGCCCGCGTGATGTGCACCACGAAGAAAGGCGTCCAACACATCAGGAATGCCCCTGGGGGTGGGTGGCGTGAGCCTGTACTCCTGCCCTTGAGGTCCCCCACCCCGCCACCTTTTACCCTTCCAATCCACACCTCCCGCCTCAGAGCCCGGGACCCCTCCCCACTATCAGCTCTTGCCCCGGGGCAGGAACCCACCAACTACCACCGGCAGGACTCTCATTGCCTTGCGCTCCCTTCCCGTGATCTTGGCTCCCCTTCTTCCGCGGGAAGGCGGTGCGGGCGCTTGAGGGATCGCTGCATCCGGGAGCAGACGCTCGGGGCCGCAGGGTCTCTGAAAGAGATCTGGCTCAGGCTGGCTGGAGCCGCTGGAGCTCTGCAAGAGGCTGGGTGAAGGGGGCAGACAGTCTGGGAAGAAGAGACCCTGAGCACGGTCCGACACGGGTGGACCCGGGCCGCTGGGTCTACGCGGTGCGCGGCTGTGCAGCTTGGTGTGCCGGGCTGCCTCCCAGCGTCGCAGGCTTCGAAAAGTGGCCCAGTAAAGCAGTAGCATGAGCGGACAGGGCAGGAAGAAGGAGCAAACGGACGAGTAGACCACGTAGTCGCGGTCCTCCAGGCGGCACACCGCTGGATCGCGGCCGGGCACATCGTTGAGGCCGCACAGCACCGGCGCAGCCACCGCAGCGGACAGCAGCCATGTGGCGGCGATGAGCAGCAGCTGGCTCTGGCCCTGCTGGTTGTAGCTCAGCGGCACCGTCACGGCCACGAACCTAGAGTGACACAGGTGTGGTGAGGGCGCCGAGTTGGGCGGGTGACTGGGAGGTGGGGGTGGGAGAGGGGTCGTCCGGGTACCCACCTGTCCACGCTGATGGCGCACAGGTTGAAGATGGAGGCAGTACATAGCATGACATCCATGGCCATGAGGGTGTCACAGAGGCGGAGGCTGAGCAGCCACACGCCACCTTGGACCTAGCCACGAAGAGGTTGCCGAAAAGAAACACAAGACCTGACCTTTCAGCCGCTGACTTTCTGACCCCCATTCTTGTTGGGGGGAAGCAATGACTGTGTTAATTAGAAGGGATGGGGGCATATGAGCCCAAGGTGAATCTGAGGCAGTTGGGGACACTTGCGTTAGAGCAGACAGAGGAGACAGACAGACCTGCCTCTTGACTCAGGTGAGAAGCTTGGTGAAGCTGGGGTGGGGTGGGGTGGGGCTGAGGTCTGACCCTCTGTCCACAAAACGCAAATCCTACCCACCTCCAAGACTCAGCTAAGAGTTACCTGCTTACTTCAACTGTCACTGCTGTGGGACTTTGGATGGGTCTCTTCACTTGCTACGGTCTACACATGACAATTGTCCTGAGGACAAATGTGTCCTAAAAGTACAAAGACTTCAGAGGGCCCTCCGTGAATCTGCATGGAGTATTCATCCTCAAGGGCAAAGCCACATACAAACATCTCAACCCACCCATCACCAAATCCCTTCACACCAATCTGGGACGATTAGGAGCTTAGGAATCATCATAGTGACGTCTGTCCCTTGGGGAGGACCTGGGGTCAAGCGCGGCTGTTGGCCTCTGCCCTAGCTCCAGGACTCACAGTGTCTTCCTTAGAAATCCCATGCATCCCATCCCCCCTCCCCCATAGTCCAGGCCACCATGTCCCTATTCCTGTCCTAAGCAGCTTTTCTCTGGCCAAACCTGGGGCAGAAAGAAGAGTTGGCACCATAGCAAACACACCTAAGAGCCAGAGCTGGTCTGGAGTGACTCTGTCCCAGGAGTCTCCAAAAGGTTCTGACCCACTCCCCTTAGCCGCCCCCAGGTTACTATCCTGCCCAGGCCTTCTGCTCCAAGCTCCTGGCAGTCGAGTGGCTGCAGGTTTTGGGCTTCTTCCACAAGGTGAGCTGGCACAGGCACAAGTCAGTCAGTCAGTCTCTCTCTCTCTCTCTCTCTCTCTCTCTCTCTCTCTCTCTCTCTCTCTCTGTGTGTGTGTGTGTGTGTGTGTGTGTGTGTGTGTGTGTGGTCCCAAAAAGGCAGTGGTCACTGGCAGTGATGTGTGTCTGTCACACTTGCCTGTCATTCTGCCTGGCTTTTGGCAGGGGTTAGGGGGGCAGTATTTCTGAAGTGGAAGCCAGGACTTAAATGGGAAATACACTATCTTCGATCCTTGGTTCCAGGGCCACAAACCCTCTCTGGGTCAGCAGATCACAGTCAGAGAATAGGAAGGGATCCAGAGGATGGTCGAGTGACTGACAGACAAAATTGGCGATGGATTTTGAAGAGCAGAGATGGTGGGCAGTCAGGAGTGAGGAGAGCTGGATCCCCTACAAGCGCCCTGGCTCAAGGTTGCTGAGGGTCCAAGAAGCCCCACTGTGCACGGGCGGGGGGTGGGGTGGGGGTGAGTGGAGCAAAGGTGCGGAGATGGGGCAAGAGCGCACTGAGACTCACCTCGGAGTAGACAAAGAGTGGCAGCACTAGTATTGCGAGAAGGAGGTCTGCAGCCGCCAGGCTCACGATGAAGTAGTTGGTGGGGGTCTGCAGGGTGCGTTCGGAGGCCACGCTCAGGCACACGAGTGAGTTCCCAGCCAACACCATGACGATGAGCAGCAGGCCCCCCACCAGCGCCGCCACACCCGCGCCTCCAAGCCCGGCGCCAGTCCCCAGGGTCTCTGGCCCACGCCCCGCCAACAGTCCACCGCCATCGGCCGCGTTGTTGCTCCCCATGGCGCAACAGCTGAACGCCCTCCTGCTAGGCTCTGAGCCCCGGATTTGCAGGCAGGGGCTGCCCGGCCCAAGCACGCCCAGCCCCGCCCCGCCCCGGTTTGGATTTCTGCACTCTAGGAAACTGGCAAAGGGAGGAAAGCTACATTTCAACATGAGAAAGGAGTGAAGTGACTGGCATAAACAGGCCCAGCAGCAGCTAGTGATTTTGCGTGATCTGGGCGTACGCAGGGGGAGAGGGGGCGCGGGTTGTTGGGGCCAGACTTGTCAGAGCCAGCCAACCCTTCCAGGAGACATTTAGGACCTTTCAGGCCACCAAACTACCTGTCTTGGAGGACTTGGCAGAACCTATACTCCTGCATTGGGACAGTGTCCTCCCCACGTAGGAAGACACCAGCTCTGGGTTCTGCAACAGGCTATGGGTGCCTCACCTCTTTCTCCATGGTTCTGGTACTGCCCGGAACCATTAGGCTTAGCAATACTGAACAATCTGGCACGTGGAGTTCACTCTCCATCAGACACCCACACATGGGCAGACGTGCAGCAATGCTTCCCACCCAGGCCGTGGCTAACCCTACATTTCTTACCATCTCTCTTCCCAGGTCTCTGGTGTTGCCATCTCCATCAGTCACTGCTGAACTGGACCATGATGAAAATGACAGGTGGCCACCTCCCAGGCTCAGCCTTAAGTTTTCCTTTTCTTTTTTCTTTCTTTTCTTGCGTGAGTGTGTGTGGGGGCGCATTTTTGAGGCAGTGTTTCTCTGTGTAGCCCTGGCTGTCCTAGCACTTGCTTTGTAGACCAGGCTACCACCAAACTCAGAGATCCTCTAGTCTCTGCTTCGGCCTCCAGAGTGCTAGAATTAGGTGGACCACCATACCTAGCTCAACCTTAATCCTTAGCCATCCTCGGTGGGCAGCTGAGTGGTTGCCCCATTGGCCACCTTTTAGGACCCACTTGGTCCTCAGCTTTCTTGCCTTTGAGATTGTGTGGACAACTGGCTACCTGTAAGAGCTGTCACACTGGGGCTCTCACTAAGTCTCCCTCCTTCCCCAGGCCACATCTGGAGGTCACACTCTTCACCCTGTGCCAACACTGGACTTCAGGAACCTAGGCTGGAACAGGACAGCACAGGTAGAGATGACACTGTAGGATCATGGCAGGTGAAGAGAGAGGAGCAAGGTCAGTCCCTGGAAGACTCTGTGTTCATGCAGTGAAAGTATATGGGGACTGTGCTGATGAAAGAATTTTTGTATATGGGCCCAATAAGACTGACAGATATTTCCTGGAATCCTGTGACAAGGGTTGTCCTTCAAGTGGATGTGATCTGAACTCTTCCTGACCAATATACAGCCCTCTGTCAGGAAGACAGAGAGTTCCCAGGTGCATGGCATGCTGCAGGGGCTTCTCTCAAGACAAAAGGAACTGAATTCAAACTATTTTAGGGGAATTGAGCCAGCCCTCTAAGAACACGTACAGATTGCTCATACAGCTGGACATTTGAGTATCCCCTGCCTAAAGCACCTAAATCCCCCTAACCATCCTTGGCAGGTTGATCACAGGAGCAGGTAGACTTTCCTCCCTGACCCTGAATAAAGCTGTTTTGGTCAATGGCCAGGCAGGATGTAGCCAGGCAGGAAGTATAGGCAGGGCTACCAGAGTAGGAGAATTCTGGGAAGAAGAAGTTAGACAGTGAGTCACAAGGGAGACACCATGTAGTTGCTGAATGAGCAAGAGGTCCGGACATCATCAGTAACCCAAGAACATGTGGAGATACATAGAATAATAGAAATAGATTAATTATTAAGAGAGAGATAGTGAGGCCAGGCGTTGGTGGCGCACGCCTTTAATCCCAGCACAAGGGAGGCAGAGGCAGGCGGATCTTTGTGAGTTCGAGGCCAGCCTGGTCTACAGAGCAAGTTCCAGGACAGGCTCCAAAACAATACAGACCAATCCTGTCTCAAAAAACCAAAGAGAGAGAGGGAGAGCGAGAGAGAGGGAAAGAGGGGGGTGAGAGAGAGGGGGAGAGGGGGGGGAGGGAGAGGGGGGGAAAGAGGAGAGAGAGAGAAAGAGCTAGTGAATAAGAAACCCAAGCCATTGGCCAAACAGTTTATAATTAATATAAGCCTCTTTGTGTTTATATGGGACTAAAGGACTTCAGGACCAAGCGGGACAGAAACTCCTGACTACACATACTTGTAATTGGGGAAGGTGTAGAGCAGGATTAGGAATTCAAAGTCATTCTTGGATACATAGCTAGTTTGAAGCTAACTTGGGCTCCAGAAGACCCTATCCAAACAAAAACAAAAATAAAAAAATTCAAATGAATTGTGTGTGTCTATGTGTGTGTACATGTGAATGTGTGTGCCTGTGTGTGAGTACATGTGAATGTGTGTGCATGTGTGTGTGTGTGTGTGTGTGTGTGTGTATGTGTGTGTATGTGTGTGTGTGTGTGTGTGTGTGTGTGTATGTGTGTGTATGTGTGTGTGTGTGTGTGTGTGTGTGTGTGTGTGTGAGCGCGCGCATGTGGAGGCTAGAGGTCAGCATCAGATGTTTCCCTAATTGCTTTTCACTGTAATTTTTGAGGAAGGGTCTTCTACTGAACCTGGAGCTTCCTGAATAGGAGAAACTGGCTGGCCAGCAAGCTCCGGGATCCTCCTATTTCCCCATCCCACCTGGAATTACAAATATGAGCTGCAGCATCCTTGTTTTTTTCTGTGGATTCTTAGGATCGAACTCAGATTCATGTACCAGTGTGACAAGCACTTTACTGATTGAGCCATCTTGCCAGACCAGGCTGACCTCAAAGTTGTTCCATAGCTGAGGATGACTTGAATTGATGATCCTCCTGTCACCACTTCCAGAGTCCCGGATTAGAGATGCCTGTACCATCAGTCTCTGGTGCTAGAGATTGAACTTGGGGTTTTGCATACGCTAGGCAAGCATTCTACTAACTCAGCTGCATTCTCAGACCTAAATCAGATTTAAATGTAAAACTTAAAGCTAAAAACTTTTAAAGAAAAGATGGGAGAAAAATCTTTGTGACCTGATATTAGGCAAAAGAGGAAGAAAGTGAGGTGAATTTGGTCAAAATTAAAAACTCCTAGCCACAGGATGGAAGGCAATACTATCAAGCTATATATTCACCACATATCTTGTATAGATAGCAATTGTAGTTGTGCACGCCTTTAATCCCAGCACTCAGGAGATAGAGGCAGGCGGATCTCTGTGAGGCCAGTATGGTCTACAAATGGAGTTCCAGGACAGCCAGTCTCAAAAAAAAAAAAAAAATTCTAGAGATGAAACACAACCAGTATAATACACAATATTAATAGAACAAAGAACAGCCCAACAGGTGCTCATGTCCCATTTTATTAATTAAACATGGACATGATTTGACCCTTGATCATCTCAACTGAATCAGAAAAAGCATTTTGCAAAAATCTACCACCCTAAACCAGGTGTGATGGCACACACCTGTGAGTACAGCATTCAGGAGGCTATGGCAAGGGGATTATAAGTTTGAGGGCAGCCTGGGCTGCACAGGAAGACCCTGTCTCAAAATACTAAGAACTAGATGTAACTCACTGATAGAGTTCTTGTCTAGCATATCCAGTGTCCTGGCCCTGGGTTCCATCCCCGTCCTCCATGGGAGATGGAGAGGACAATGTGAAACACTTTCTTACTCATTAGGACAAGATAAATGATGGAAATAAGTGGGGAGGTGTGGGATGGGTGGGGGCTGGGAAGAGGCCTGGGATGGAGGTGGCTTGGGATATGGCAGAGTGGTGAAAGTCCCACTGCACAAACGTGAGGACCAGAACTTAACTTCAGAGTCCCAGAAATGGCATTAATATACAGTGAGTGGCTGTAATTCCAGTCATGGGAAGCTAAGACAGAGCAAGCTGGCTCATGAGAAAAGTCGTATTGGCAAGTTCTGGGGTTGACCAAGAGACCCTGCCTCAGTGACTGAGGCAGAAGCGTGATAAAGGTTAATTCCTAACACCAACTTCGGGCCTCCATATGTACAGGCACCCACATGCATACACACTCACACAGGTGTTCAGACACATGTAAAACATGCATACATATTTGCACACCACATACACATGCACATATATATGGTCTATTATGCAACCACCTCTTGGAATTGTAGTTTATCCAGACTGGCACAGGCCATGCCAGCAAGCTGGTGAGTCCCAGCCATCATTATTTCATGTCAGAAGACCAAGGACATTATACATACAATTCAGAAGATACCTTGTAAAGTGACAGACGGGAAGCCATAGAAGTCACCTTCACATATCAGGCCTGAAACCAACAATTTAGTGAAATGTTTCCAGAAAAACGAAACCCCCAAGAGGACACAGCTGAGCAAACTGCCCTGTTACAGGGACCCAAGCCCCACTCCATTACACACACAGGACAGGGCACATGACTCAACTTGTCTGCCTCTGGAGCACCAGGGAGAACAAACGACAGTCATCACCTTTGTCCCAGTGTCCAAGGTAAGAAGTAGAGGAAGACAAAAGCCATGCAGCTGCCTGTCTACCCTATTTGGTCACCATCATGGTGACTGAGAATGACACCAGTGTCAGCCCAGCAGTGGTGGAACATTCTTTTAATCCCAGCACATCGGGAGGAAGAGACAGGCAGATCTCTGAGTTTGAGGACAGACTGATCTACAGAGCTAGTTCCAGGACAGCCAAGGCTACACAAAAACTTGTGTCAAAAAAAAAGGAAAAGAAAAAAGGATGATACCAGTGTTATCATGCTTGTCCCTAAAGAGCAATATACCCATTACAACCGGTAACCGGAGGAAAACAGGTTCTGGTCAGCCTTGCCTTTGTTTTGTTGTTGTTTTGTTTATTCGAAACAGGTTTTCTCTGGTGGCTTTGTATTTTTGTGCCACCACCACCTGACTTAGCCTCGTCTTGTATCCTTGTGCATATGAACACTGTGTAAGCATTGGGGAACGGCATGGATGTTGAAAACATAGGTGTGACCTTCCTGACAACT